AATTAAACAAATATGTTAGATGAGGCCTCTAAGCTATGGACAAAGTGTCAAAAAAACAATTCAACTTTATAAATATCAACTTTATAAATATCGAAGGTTGCCACTCAAGATATAAAAACGTGCCAATATTAATACCAAATCTAATTATTACTATTTTTGTCAAGAAAGATATCATAACTATTACCTCCTTTTAATTTAATTTACCTTAAAGTTGACGAATCATTAAAACTTAATTGCATATTTAAAACGTGATATATTACAAATGAGTAACAATTTTATAATACAACCCTAAACAAACTTCACCCTCCCCTACCTCCAAACATAACCCCCACACCAATATATTAACCCTTTCTTTTAAATTTATAGAATCCAACCAAAAACTGGTTTTATAGGAAGTCTAAAATGTCTAAACTTTTAATAAAATACTTTATAGGATTTAAATTAATAGAATCCAACCAAAAAATAACTTCTCTAAAAGTTTTATAATATGTTTATAGAACGGTTTTAGGCATTTTAACAAGTTTTTTAGGACACTTTTAAAATAAAATGTCATATTAGCTATTTTATACGATGCTATTTGGAAAAATGTCTTATAAAAAAATGAATTTATATGACACTTCTTAAAGACCTCTTAAAAAGCTTGTTGAAACCCCCAAAAGCATTTTATAAACCTTTTGTAATGTTTTTAGATATGACGTTTTATAGTTTGATCTTATAATCTTATGTTCTATAAAGTGTCATATTAAAACTTTTAGACATTCTAGGTGTTCTATAAGACCAATATTGTTATAGTGTTTGACAATAAAGTGTTATAACTATTCTATCTACAACTTGTCGACTTATATATGTTTTCCTAATTAAAAAAATTATTTAACGATGCTAATCTAATTAAATGAGAGTATCGAAAATTTTAGATTAAAATAAAACTAGTTGTTGTATCTGCACAATGCGACGGGAGTTGTGAATTTTAACGACTTTGAAGTTTCATTGGTTTTATTAGAGAAGATTTAACGATGATATAAGTTACACTTGGTCTTTACATATTAATACAATTTAAATAAATAAGAGTTATGATTACAATTACAGTCTATCGATGAAAAAAATTGTATGATAGTTTAAAATTCAATATATTTAAAATTCAACATATTTAAACGACTCCACAAATGTGTTCGATTTACACCAAGAGCAAAGAATCAAGAGATCGAGAACGAGAGTTATAGAGCAATTGAATGGGAGATGAATGAAGAACTTTTAATAACTCATAGTGAATATCAGTTGAATCTCACATTGGGGGATGAGGAGAAGACATAGAGGTATGAGAGGGTGAAGACATGAGTGAAAGGTGTCAAAAGTATCTTGGAAACATGAAAAGAAAAAGTAATAATATGCATAGGTAACTTGTATTATATGTTATTTTAATTGTAGATTAAGAGATTTTAAGACTGAATGCATAAAGTAGTAGTACTTAATGCATTTATGAGTTGTTTTTAAGAATTTTAAGATTTTGTGCATAAATGTATAGTACTCTGTGCATTAAAAATTGTTTTTAAGACTTTTGATAAATCTGGTTTGCAAGATAGTATAGATAAATAAAGAGTTTATGAATTTCAGAGAAAGAGCATGTCAAAGTTCTATAAATTTCAAAAATTCCTAAAAAAATGATTATTATAAAAAAATATCTATACTATATTATAAATCATTTAACAAAAACTCTTAAAAACTATTTTTATGCATAAAGTACTGTTTATTTATGCATATTACTTAAAATTCAAGATTACRAGTAAATTGTGCGTAAGTACAACTTATTAAAGCTTCATATTTGAATTCATGTAATTAATTACAGATAAACATAATCAAATAGAGGATAATCATCTCATTTTAAATATAAAAAATCTAAAATATAATTAAGATAATCATTTAGTTTTAACAAAATACTTAATTATCATCTTTACAAAAATTATATTATTAAACCAAAAGTAAAAAATTGAATTAAAAAAATACACAAATAAATGAGAAATTTTAAATAGTTAGTTTGATACTAATATCAATATTTTTTTTCGATTTTTTATGATATA